TTCTAGTTGTAGCCTAATTGTAATTTTGTCAGTCTTTTAGGGCCATTGGATTATATGGCATATAAATAAATGCTTTTAAATAAACACTAGGGGTATTCAAAGAGAGGCTGGATGGTTATCTGTTACCGATGCTCTAGCAAATCCTGCCCTGAGCAGAAGGCTGGAATAAATAAAGTTCTTTCCAACTTGATGATTCTTTAATTCTAGGTATATATTTTTTCCTACTGGGATCACTGTTAGGCATACTTGGTAACCTAGGAGAAACAAGCAGTATTGTTTGTATCTGGCAAATGACTATTTACATTTTACCAAGGGAATGGTCTATTTCTAAGAAGCATTAGCAAGTTTAACTGACTTTATATAGATAAAATGGCCTCTTTTTACTACCTTCTGTCAGTCTGTTTTAATACAATCTCATTTCTTTTCTTCTTTTAGATTGTCCCCTCTGGACAGAAAAGTTTGCATTTTCAAAACCAATGTTTCCTCTTTCATGAAGTAAGTAAGAAAAGAAAGTGGTGGAGTTTAGTTAGTGATAGGGTTACATTCCCAAAGGAACAAGCTCAGAATCTAAGAACACTCTTGACATTTGTCAATGATTGTCCAGACTGACGTCAGGTACTCACTATAACCCTTATAAAATCAGAGAGAGCTTAGATTCAGTTATCCAGTAATCAAGACTAATCCAAAGGCATGGCAGTTTAAAATTCTAGAGTCTAGATTACTATAATCTAGAAAAATTGATGTAGCAATATCAGCTGAACTGTGCCATACCTGCACAAATCTAATATTGACAGAGAATATCTTGCAGGAACAGGGGCAAGAATCTCTTGTCAGTAGAAAGGAGGTTTGAATATGTAACTGCTAGGTTTGACTTCTGACTTCTACTAGTACAAATGTTTTTACATCATCAAACTCTTCTCACCCATAGGAGTGTATTTTTACTTTGTTTTTGTAACTGGTAACTTTGTTTTTGCATTTCCAAAATGCAAAAAGCTGTATTGTTGAGTTGTATGTATGAATACTGTTCATGCTTGCATTCGTCATTAATAATCTTCTCAAGTGATGCTGTCCCAAAGGAATGCTTGGTTTCACTTGTGAAAAATAGCATTTTAAAGCATGTGCTGCCAGCATGGCTGTCCATAGAACTTGCTATTTTCATCAGAATGAATGAAACCAGCATTGCAGCTTCATAAGCAAGCTTTGTCCCTTTCATACATGTGTGTTGTGTCATGATGCAGATACAGAAGCGGTGGGATTTGTGTCACAATTTTATCATTCTGCCCCTCTTGCCCCTCACCATATGCCAGTGGCTACCAGAAAACAACTTTTACATGAACACAGAATAGTTATATAAGTGCAAGTTCAATTTAGTGTAATGGAAGTTATTTTCTGTAATGAATAACATACAGTAGGAAGCTGTCTCCTTGACTAGGGTATTGATCATCTAGTATCAAAAATGACTGATAGGAACTCTCAGAATTTCAGGCACCAGATCTTTTCTGTCTTTCCTGGAGATGTGGGAGATCGAATGTTAACCTTTCTGCGTACAAAGCAAATGCTCTATTTTTACTATTGAGCCTGATTGTAAGATCATGTTTTATTTATTTATTTATTATTAAACTTGTATGCCGCCCATCTCCCCCAACGGGTGACTCT